TATAAAATTAATATTTTGCTTGGAATTTTAGAGATATAAGAATATGCAAAAAGTGGATGAAAAAAATTATCTTTGTCATAATACCAGAAGCCTGGTTTTGATAATTATAAAAGCATAATACTAGAAATACTAGAATACTAGAAGCATAATGCAAAAAACATTAGCATTTCAAGGGAAGGTTAAGGATAGATTAAAACACTTTTTCTCAGCACACAGTTATGTTTTGGAATTAATTGCAGTAAGCCAGTCTTTCTCGAGCTTCCTAATGCCATTACCCCTTCATACAGTTGCTCATGTTGTGATGACCCCCAACCATAACATTATTTTCATTGCACCTTCATGACTGTAATTTTGGTACTGTTATGAATTGTAATGTAAATATCTGACATGCAGGATGTATTTTCATTCACTGGACCAAATTTGGCACAAATACCCAATATGCCCCAATTTGAATACTGTTGGGGTTGGGGGAAATTGATTTTGTCATTTGGGAGTTGTAGTTGCTGGGATTTATAGTTAACCTATAGTCAAAGAGCATTCTGAACTCCAGCAACAATGGAATTGAACCAAATTTGGCACACAGAACTCGGATGACCAACAGAAAATACTGGAAGTGGTTAGTGGGCATTGACCTTGAGTTTTGGAATTGTAGTTCACCTACCTCCAAAGAGCACTCAAACGATGGATCTGGACCAAACTTGGCACGAATATTCAATATGCCCAAATGTGAACACTGGTGGAGTTTGGGGAAAATAGACCTTGACATTTGGGAGTTGTAGTTGCTAGAATTTATAGCTAACCTACAATCAAAGAGCACTCTGAACCCAAGCCTTAATGGATCTGCATCTAACTTGGCACACTACCTACAAAGGGCAGCATTGAGTACTGATGGGGTTTGGGGGGGGGATCTGTTTATGAATTCTGGGAGTTGTAGTTCACCACACCAAAAAGGAAGAGAAGGATAGGCAGAGAGTTCTTCAGCTTTCTCTGCCAAAAGGGTTCCTAAGGCCATCAGAAATATGTGTTTTCTGATAGTCTTTGGTGACCCCTTTGAAAACTTAATAATAATAATAATAATAATAATAATAATAATAATAATCTTTATTTATACCCCGCTACCACCTCCCAAGGGACTCGGTGCGGCTTACATGAGGCCGAGCCCACAATACATCAATGATAAAGCAATAACAACAATTAATACAGACAATAAAATAAAACTCAGAACAAAAAATAAACAATAAACAATAGCAGTAACACAACAATGTTTAAAACCTATGGCTGGGCCAAATGTAATAATTAAAATTTAAGAATAATGCTGAGCATGAACAGATGAAATATGAACTAGGATAGAGTTTTCAGAGAGGGATGGGGCATGCAGACATTCCTAGAACAATAGTAAAGTGCATTTCTGAGATTCACAGAGGTTAGGGTCATCATTGGCTACTAGTCAATATGGCCATAGGTATGTAATCTCTAATGCCAAAGGCAATATGCCTCTCTATATAGCTGGGAAGCAAGAGATGGAAAGTGCAGTTGTATTCATATTTTAATAGTGAGTTTCCCATAAGAAATGGGTTTCCTACTGTGAACAGTATGCTGGTCAAGATAAGCCTTAGGTCTGATCTAGGAAGGCTGGTTATATATTTTTATGTTAATGTATACTACTTGATTTAGCCAATTTAGGCAACTGAATGTAGATATTATTGTAATGTCACAACTGATATCCTCTGGATGTTTTGGACTACAACTTTAATCAAACCCAGCCAGCACCAACTGTGTTAATATGTCTACCTTACTTACATCTCAATGATGTGCTTAAATATAAGATTCCAGGCCTTTTCACTCAAGTTACACAGTACTCTAGAACTGCGATTCACATTAGGTTAGAGTAGCCTTTTGGAGAAAATGCAGAATAAGGTCTAAATGAGACAACAATCAGATTCATCATTGTGGTGGTGCAATGGGTTAAACACTTGTGCAGGCAGGACTGCTGACAGGTCAGTGGTTCGAATCTGGGAAGAGTAGTTTGAGATCCCTCTGTCAGCTCCTGCTCCCTATGCAGGGACATGAGAGAAGCCTCCCACAAGGATGCCCAAACATCCGGGCATCCCCTAGGCAACATCCTTGCAATGGCCAATTCTCTCACACCAGAATTGACTTGCAGTTTCTCAAGTCACTCCTGACACCAAACCCCCCCCCCCAAAATCAATCAATCAAACAAACAAACAAAACAAAACAAAACAACAACCTTCCATACATTTCTTGACTTTGAGAGAGCAACTTGTTTGTTTGATCAGACCACATTGTGTCCTCTCAAACCTGCAATTTTCTATTTCCCATTCTAGAATACTCCATGGTAAGACAACTGATCAGGCCCGAATATGATATTGGCATGTGACAGCCGATGGGGGTGATAGGTTGCCACTATAGAACATGAAAGAGTAATAGTGAGTGATAGAGGATTCTTGTTTGCATACTAAAATAGACTGAAATTTGAATATCCAGTTATCTCCTGAACATATGGAAAAATCCATAACGCACCTGGATCCGTTCTATACAAAAATGTACTCTGTAAACAATTATTTGTTTGAAACCCTAGGATAAAATGTAGTTGAAAAAGGATATAAGAAGATGCAGAACCTTGTCATTTGCCTTTTAATATACATACATTCTTGGGAGGTTGCATGTGTATTATTTCAACTCAATCGGTTAGGTTAAAGTAACAATGCCCTGTGTTTGTTTAAAAGCAATTTGAAATACTTTTCCTTCTTTGCTCTTGATTATTCCTCTGACACATAATATCCTTGCTGTCTGATTTTGGCCACACAGCATTTTAAATACCAAATTGTGGAATTTAATTTGTTTTCTTGATATTACCAGGAGTATAGAACCCGCTATGTGACATGGTCTCCTCTTGTGATATGAACAAAAAAGAATTAAATATGTGTGCATACTTGTAAATCAATTGAGAAAGGTAAAGGTAAATGCAGACAGACATGATGATATATATCTACAACAGGTAGATTTGACTGTGCAAATGAATGCATGCTGAAATTGTATCTTTTAGAACATCTGCTTTAATGTCTAATGGCCACCCTTGTGGGTTTGATTCGTAAAATGGAAACAAAACGTGCCTCGTAGACTTTAAAGAAAACACTCTAACCTACAGACTAAATAAAGTTTGGTAATGAGATGTATTATTTTGTCTTCCTTCCTGAAGAACTGCAAAACATTTGGAACTACTCTTGAGTGTCAGTGTTCTCAGTTTGCTTTTTCCACTGTGGCAAGAGAATGTTGCCATAACACCGGATTCTGTAAATCTAGCCACAGGGAAAACAATTTCTTAAGGAACAGCAAATGTTGCTTCTGCAAATACAGTTTCCTTATAAACTGCATATATTGGGACAGAAACGATAGACAAAAAAAAAATCACAAAATGCGATTTTTTTTGTTATTCTCTCCCCCCCACCCCCCCCTTTTTTATATGATAAATTACCTGAACATTAGGGGTGGGGTGGGGAGAGAGATAATAATAATAATAATAATAATAATAATAATAATAATAATGACATCACAATTGTGGAAAAGAAAAAAGTCTGGATTATTGATGTTGCCATTCCAGGTGACAAACGCATTGAGGAAAAACAACAGGAAAAACTAAGCCGCTATCAAGACCTCAAAATCGAACTGCAAAGGCTCTGGCATAAACCAGTCCAGGTGGTCCCAGTGGTCATTGGCACACTGGGTGCCGTGCCAAAAGATCTCAGCCGGCATTTGGAAACAATAAACATTGACAAAATCATGATCTGTCAACTGCAAAAGGCCACCTTAGTTGGATCTGCACGGATCATCCGAAAATACATCACACAGTCCTAGACGCTTGGGAAGTGTTCAACTTGTGATATTGTGATACGAAATCCAGCATATAGATCTCGTTTGCTGTGACATACTGTGCTTTTGTGTCAGTAAAATAATAATAATAATCTTTATTTATACCCTGCCACCATCTCCCCCAACGGGGACCCGGGGCGGCTCACATGAGGCCAAGCAACAAATACAATGAAATAAAATACAGTAAAATAACAACCAAAACGCAAACAATATCACAGTAAAATACTAAACATATGAATACAATAAGCAATATACACAAAACATAAAAAGCAGTAAACAAACATGATGACAGTGAGCGGGCTGCGTGTACAATAAAATGATTTTAAAAAATGGATGTCTATCTGAATAGTACTCAGAGAAGCTGAGTAGCTGTGTGAAAGTTGGAAGAAGAAGGAATGGAAAGTCTAGAGAGAAAAAAATAGGCATCCCTGTTTGGGAGACAGACAGAGATCAGATAAAGCTTGACTTAAAACCATTATAGCAAGGCTAGATCAGGAACAACAAGTAGGAGTTATACTGGATCTACAGCAACCAACTTTTATGGATTTTTTTTTCAAAAAGTGATCCTATTATTTTTATATCTAGGTTTTTTGACCAGGGACCACTTTGACCAGGGACCACTCTCCAACATTAGTACCAAAAGGGTTATGAATCAGTGTTTGGTCAACTTTAGATTCAGTTTGATTCTTGGTATGCTGATTCAGAAAATTGTATTGGCTAGACCACATCAGCTATAGTTTCTGAGGTAGAACATATGCCATCCAGTAGTTGCCATCTGCTCGCCTAGAGAAAACCATATTTAATAAGCCTTGGCACTATAAGTCGTTTATGTGAGACTAGTCGCTCTCACTGCAATGGTGAGGTCACAGACCATATTTTAGTTCTTGTGGACCACTGGTGGCCCACAGACCACAGGTTGAGACCACTGACCTAGACACATGTTTACTTTTGCATGTCAGTTCAATGAGAAATTGCCAGTTAACAATGTTTATTGTTTATTTGCATTGTTTATTTCCATAAACATTATTTATATATTGTTTATTTGAATACGGATGCTATTTAGTATAGGAATCAAACTTACATATCTCTGCCTTTTCATATTTTTGCAGGTTGCCTGCCTTACCTATATTGCAAGCAATTTCCTAAACTGCAAAACAGAAACCAAACGATGGGGCACTGGACATGCAAGTATTGTTCCTTACCAGGTAAGATACAGGGCAAGCATGTGTCCTTTTCTCATTCTGTGATTTTGATAGTTTTGAATTTGGGAAATGCGTTTTGCTTCTGCCATCTACCATTTACTGAAGTCTTCTCTGGGTAGGGTTTTCCCGTCTCATTTTTCAGTGTAAAATATTATATGCCATATATTAATCATGACATTGCTAAAAATTGATCATCAGTTCCTGAATGAAGCTGGTCTTTTCTTTTGAGATGCTTCACATTTTATAAAATGATTGTGTTTATTGAAGAACACATAAACTGGATGTATGATTTATAGTTGCCATTATTGTTTGACAGTACTATAGGTATTTATATCACACCACCTACTTATAGGTTCTTTTGAAGTAAGTATTGGTCACCAACAAGTTAGTAATAAGAAATTGGATTTGAATGGATCAGTGGTGTTAGATATGGTTGGATAACATTACTGGATATTATGAACTGCATTGTTTTATGCTTGAGTTGAATATTCAAATCTCATTTTATTCCACACCATTTAAAAAAAGTAAGTTAGCTTTATTGTAAGGATAATATTGGAGATACAGGATAATACTGGAGATGTTCCAAATTGTTCCAAATAGTAGCAAAGCTTGTTGACACTCTTGGGTCTTGCTTTCCTCAGGGGAAAAAAGGAGTAGTGTTGTTTAGAAGTTCCAAATTCTATATACCAATGGATAATCCCTGTCCTGTCATAAGACAGGGTGAAGAAGTCATCCTAAGCAATAGATGTTGGAGATAGCAACAGTGTTAAAAGGGAAGTCTGTATGCCACAGAGCTTGCCTAACTCCCCTAATGTTAGCCTGTTGTCTTCAACTGTTGTGCAGCAGGGAATAGTCTTTCACTACCAGTCCAGTCAACTTTTGTGCATGGAATGTGAGAGGATGCCATCTTTTCCTTCATCTCAGGCAGACATGGCCGATCCTCATTTTTGAGAACTTGGACATTGATTGTTACTACAAATAAACAGATTGTTCTGCCTTGGCTCCATATTACTTGTTATATGTGTTTTTTCTGACAGTGTGTCTGTCCCATCTCATATTTGCTGGCTGAAAAAAAGATGAATGGAAATTCATATTTCAATATGTATTTTTGAATGAATTTGCCAGAAGATAGGCTTTGCTAGATGTAATTTCTCCTAAAGTACTGTATTGTCTGGCATATAAGACTACTTTTTAACCCAGGAAAATCTTCTCAAAAGTTGGGGGCCGTCTTATACGCCAGGTGTTGTCTTATAGGACACATGCTAAAACTTCTGAGTTGGACTGGAGAATCTGCGATCACCGCATATGGTGGGGGGGGGGGAACTCAAAAATGGCCACAGCTGCATCGCCACTGTATGTGGCAACCGTATGAAAGCAGCAAGGGTGGTGCTGTTCAAGTATGGTAGAAGGAAATCCACTCACCAGGATTAGTGGGAAGAAGTGACTTAACGTGGTTCCAATGACCAGGTGAGGGGGCGCCTCACCGGAAAGGTGTAAGTGAAGAGCGGAGCAAGCTGCCGGCGTCCAGGATGCCCAGGGTATGGAAAAAAGAGATAGAGTGGTGCTGTGCCCAAAAAAAAAACATGCCTCTTTCACCCGTCTGGCCCGCCCTTGTATCCTGTTATCGTACCTCTTTCTCAGATCTCGCTCCTGAGGATTGCAGTGAAGCGATGAAGTACAGTAATAGGAAAATTATCATATTGAAATGAAATCTGAATTTTTAAAAATTGTTATTTGGTGTGCGTTGGAAGACGGGTAGTCTTATACAGTGAGTATATCCCAAACTCTATATTTTAACTAGAAAAGTTGAAGGTCGTCTTATACACCCAGTCATTTTATACTCCAGAAAATATGGTATGTATTTCTCAATGCATTTTATCCCAAAACATAAGTCCAAGAACTAAGAACAGCATTGCAAAATTCAGGGAAATGTGAAATCTTGAAGGATGACTATGATCTGATCCATTCAAGATGTGGATCAGGTTGGATCTTAGTGGAATGCACAAAGGTAAAATCGCTGAAATTATTCCCATAATAAAGCTTTGCTGCATTCTTTTAACAGGTTAGTATGTTGAGAACCTGTGACCTAAAAGATCACTAAGCTAATCTTCTGGAATAAAAACCAAGAATGTTTAAGTTATAATCCCCAAAGATATGATACACTAGCTTTTTATTTCCTGAAATGTGATATAAAGACTAAAAATTATATTCCTCCGCAGAGCCATTTGTTTTTGAACATTGTTCAATAGTTAATTAAAGCTTAAATAAAAATAAAATTATGTGAGTCAGGTCTTTTAAAAATTGGTTTTGAATCTTTAAAAATTCACGCGAAATTTTTAGTTGTTGTTTATTTTTTTACTTTTGACCATTTAAAAATTGGCCTGAACTTGCGTTCAGGAAAAAAAGCTTTAAATTATAATTATGGAAAGCTGTGGTACTCTAAGAATGTCAGAATGTTATTAAATCATGGAGGATTAAGTAACCTTTGGGGATCTCTTTTGAACAGATGTTGAGAGTTTTAGAGAAGTCAATAATTTCAACATCTGGGGCTTTGTACATGAGATAACTGTGAACTATGACCAGTAGAATCATTTACCGGTAGTTGTTTACTATTTAAAAGGTTTTTGTAATCAGCAAATGGGTTTCTCTTAATTATGCTTAAACTGGAAGAGTTGTATGGATACTGTAAAATGGTGCATTTGGTTTCTATGAATCACCTTATTTACTGGGACTTCAACCAAGTTTTACAGTTTAGTCCTTTATGTGTCTACTCAGAAGTATGCCCCTTTGAAGTCAGTGGGACTTTGTTCCAGGTAAGAGTATGAGGGGTATTTTTTAAGTAAGGTCCGTTTTGTTGTAGACACTAGTAGTTCGCACGCATACCGCAACGAGTGCATTAATATATTTATTTATTTATTTATTTATTTATTTCTTGTACTTATTGACCGCCACTCTCAGCCCTAGGGGCGACTCGTGGCGGTGAACAGCAACATAGAAAGACAGCATACAAAAATCATAACAATACATAACAAACTACTACTACGACATATACTTATACTAAAAATCCGCTTCGTCTAATCCTAGGGTCATAGCCAGGTTCGTAGTCGTAGTCCATTCTAACGTCGTTCCACAGATACACTTAGTTGAAGGCCTGCTCGCAGAGCCAAGTTTTCAGGCTCCTACGAAAGGCCATCAAAGAGGGCGCCTGTCTAACTTCAGTAGGGAGGGTGTTCCACAACCGGGGGGCCACCACCGAGAAGGCCCTCTCTCTCGTCCCCGCCAGACGTGCCTGCGAGGCCTCGGGAACAACTGTGCTCAGTTTCCGCTCTGTAGCTAACCTGTACGGTTCTGTTCTGTGCTTTAAAAATGTTTAAGACTATCAACTCACCCGCCGCATGTGAGGTTCGCTCAGTGATACGGTTTTTGTCAGCAAGGAACCTGCCTGCTGCAGAAATTCATCGACAGATTTGTGAAGTGTACAGTGATACTGTTATGAGTGAAAGCAAAGTGCGTAAGTGGGTACAACAATTCAAAGATGGCCGTGACAACGTCCATGATGAGGACCGCTCCGGTCGCCCTTCTTTGATTATAGACGATTTGGTTATCGGAGCAGGCGGCAAGTTTTTATGAAGAGGGTATTTTAAAATTGGTTCAGAGGTATGATAAGTGTTTGAACAAACTTGGCAACTATGTCGAAAAATAGAGTGAAGTATGTACTTTCTGAAAATAAATTTAATTTTTTGAAATAAACTTTCGTTGTGTACTTATGTTCCAACGGACCTTACTTTAAAAATACCCCTTGTAAATAGTAACTGGGTTGTGGTGAGTTTTTCAGGTTGTATGGCTATGTTCCAGAAGCATTCTCTCCTTACGTTTCACCCACATCTACGGCAGGCATCCTCAGAGGTTGTGAGGTATATTGGAAACTAGACAAGGGAGGTTTATATGTCTGTGAAAGGTCCAGTGTGGGAGAAAGAACTCTTGTCTTTTGGAGGCAGGTGTGAATGTTACAATTAATCACCTTGATTACCATTGAAACACCTTGCATCTTCAAGGCCTGACTGATTCCTGCCTGGGGGAATCCTTTGTTGGGAGCTGTTAGCTGGCCCTGATTGTTTCATGTCTGGAATTCTCCTGTTTTCAGAGTGCTATTATTTATTTACTGTCTTGATTTTTTTTAATACTGGTAGCCAGATTTTGTTCGTTTCCATGGTTTCCTCCTTTTTGTTGAAATTGTCCACATGCTTGTGGATTTCAGTGGCTTCTCTGTGTCGTCTGACATGGTGGATGTGAGAGTGGTCCAGCATTTCTGTGTTCTCAAATAATATGCTGTGTCCAGGTTGGTTCATCTGGTGCTCTGCTATGGCTGACTTCTCTGGTTGGATTAGTCTGCAGTGCCTTTCATGTTCCTTGATTCGTGTTTGGGTGCTGCGTTTGGTGGTTCCTATGTTGACTTGTCCACATCTGCATGGTATATAGTCAGAGTGGATCCCCATGAAATGCTGAGGTGTCAATTTTTCAGCCTCTCTCTACAGCTCAGGGACTGCATTTCAGGTTTTGACTGAACAAGCACAAATCAAAAGGTCACTTCCTTTTTCGTTTGAAATTATTTCAAGATTCAACAAGGGGTCGAGCATTGCCCTATTTTAACTGAGAATCGTAAACCACAGATGCTTCATGGAAACATTATAAAACAAAAGGTGTTACTATCTGAACCGTTGATGTAGACAATTTTGGAATATTTAGGATTTTGGAATTCTGGTTAAAGGATTCTCAACACTTATAGCAACTCATAGAATCATGGAATAACAGAGTTGGAAGAGACCACATGGGCCATCTAGTCCAACTCTCTATAATGCAGGAAAAGCACATCAAAGTACCCTTTTAAAAGCCTCCAAGGAAGATGCTTCCACCGCACTCTTAGGCACAGAGTTCCACTGCGGAACAGCTCTTACAGTCAGGAAGCCCTTCTTAATCTTCAGGTGGTATCTCATTTCCTGTAA